CTCTCCCCGATTTTTTCTAGCAAAAGAAAACTCTCAAATCTCAATGTGCGTGTGTGTGTGTGTGTGTGTGTGTGTGGCAGCATATTCAAATCAGTGAAAGGTGCCCCCAGTAGGACACTAGAGACAGAGGTGAAGAACTCCTTTTGAAAATAAACGTCCGCACGGATGGCACTCACACACGGCACAGGAGAGCAGAAATGTCTAGGGGGCTGCTCTAATGAATATGGAAGAATGGTCTATAATTAGGGAAACTTTTTTTTTAAGTTTATTTATTTATTTTGAGAGAGAGAGAGAGAGAGAGAGAGAGACGGCGTGAGTAGAGGAAGGGCAGAGAAAGAGGAGGGGAGACAGAGAATCCCAAGCAGAGAATCTGCACTGTCGGCACGAAGCCCGATGCGTGGCTCCAACTCACGAACCGTGAGGTCATGACCTGAGCCGAAGCCGGATGGATGCTTAACCAACTGAGCCTCCCAGGCGCCCTGGTCCGGGGAAACTTTTCAGCATCACCACCTCCCATGATCTCCCAGAACACACCTGGGAAGTAGCTACTGTCCTTATCCCGGCTATACTGCTGAGAAAACTGAGGTTCAGAGAGGTTGGGAACTTGCCCACAGTCACACAGCAAGGAGGTGGCAGGACCAGATCTCAGACCAAAATGTGGTAAACACCAAGGGCTTGGCTAGCTTTTCTCCATCCAGAATTTTCCCGCCCCCGGTCATGAATATGCATTGGGTTTATTTGGAATAATAACACCTTCCAGCTCCTCTGGAGAGAAGAGAACCTACGGGTGCCTTCAATCTGGATGGATATTGCCTCGCCAGAAATTCATTTATGGAGTAAGCAACAGTCTCCCTCTCTCTGTAAACCTGCATTCCGCCAAATGAATATATAACGAGGCTTGGGAACATTGAGACATTATTTTCCAGCAAATCCTGGACCATTTAGAAGGAGATCAGACCTTGCTTTGCTTGGCAAGGGAGCTGTGTTAGTGAGTCATTCCAAAGCACAAAAGGGCAGCACAGAAGCAGTCACTGGGGAGGGGGAAAAAAAGAAAAAAGAAAGAAAAAAGGTGTCAGAGCCAAGAGCAGAAGGCAAGGTCAAGGGTGAGAGGGGGAACTAGGGAAGGAGGAAGGAGAAAGGAGGAGGAAGCAATTGCCCTACGCTGCACAGAGATGCCCTTGAAACGCAGACACCAGGGCAGGTCTCAATATAGCACCTGGTCCTCAGCTCCTAGGAAGGGACTGGAGTTAGAGCTTCTGTCTGGCCAGAAAGGCAGCTGGAAGATGGAGATAAAAGCACGGCCACTCATTTTCCCCCCCCACCCCCCCCAACACACACCCCAACACGCACAACTTTGAATGCCTCCAAATGCCGGGGAGAGAAAGGGTGCTGGGCCCAAAGACAGGGGTGGGCCGGAAGGGGGAAGCGGCCGGAAAGCCGATCAAAACCCCTTTCAAGTTCAGATTAAACTCCGCAGATTGCGGGAGGCCAATTTAATGGGAAACGTTCCCTGTTCCCCCTGTCCCCTCCCTCTGGCTTCCCAAGGGAAGGGGACTGGGCTGTGATGTCGCTCATCAGAGAAACCCATGGGTACCAGATCTTATCCAAATGAGCAGCTGTGGAAGGCTAAAAAGATAGAACTGGGAGAAAAAAAAACAGTTTACCAAGTGTTGAAAGGGAAAGGAGGGTGGGAGAGAGGGATTTTAATTACCCTGCATCCTTCCTGGGGAGGGGCGGGACACCCAGGGACATTTAAAGGCCATTAGCTCTGAAAGATGAAGCTGGTGAGACATGGGTTGGGGAGGGGGCCCTCCGGCCTGGAAAATAGGGTACAGCTCAGCCCCTTTACTTTTTCAAGCCTCAGTTTCCCCACATGGAAAACAGGAACGGGGTGACACTGATGCCACAGTGCTCTCCTGAGCCAGCACGCACAGTGGCTAAGCCTTCGGAGCCTGTTCAAACACTCCTCTCGCCTATAAGCTGCGTGACCCTGACAAGGGCCCTGACTTCTCTGAGCCTCAGTTTCCTTCCTGTGAAATGGCAGCCGGGATCATTCCCACCTGTCAGGAGTACGGTAAGGATTATATGAGTCCGTCTGAAGTGCACGAAATAGCAGGCGGCCCACAGAGTCCACCGACGCAGAAGCTACCGTCGTTCTCACGAGGCGAGCCAGAATTTTCTTGCGGGGCGTGGTGGGATTTAGGGGAGAAGGACTCCGAAAGACACAGATTCAAGACCTGTTCCTTCAGGTTATTCAGCCTATCCCTAAGCCTCAGCCTTTTCACCCAAAATCGGAAGCTTGGGGGTGGGGGGCGTTAGATGAGGCGTATGCTCTGTGACCCTGAGGTCAACACCGCTGTCGTCTGTGGTCAGTGGGGCTGGGGAGCTATTTTCAGCGGGTTTGAGGTTAGCAGTCATGCAAGATGAGTGACTTCTAGCGATCCGCTGAACGACATATCGCCCATAGCTAACAATAGTGGGTCGTGCAACGTTGTGAAAATTGTGAGGTGAGTTAACTCTCCCGTTAAGTGTTCTTACCACAAAAGAATGAAGCACGAAAAGGGAGGGAGTGGGGGCGTGTGGAAACCTCTGGAGGTGATGGATATGCTTATTATCTTGGCTTTGGTGAGAGTATCACAGGCGTATGTAGAGAGATACACACATCGCGTTGCGTACTTTAAGTGTGCTTTGTGGGGCGCCTGGGTGGCTCCGTCGGTTGGGCATCCCACTTTGACTCCGGTCATGATCTCGAGGTCTGTGAGTTCGAGCCCAGACTCGAACAGCCTGAACAGGCCGAACAGCCTGGAGCCTGCTTCGGATTCTGTCTCTCTCTCTCTCTCTCTCTCTCTCTCTCTCTCTCTCTCTGTGTGTGTGTCCCTTCCCCCCTCACGCTCTGTCTCTCTTGCTCTCTCTCTCAAAAATAAACATTAAAGGGGCGCCTGGGTGGCGCAGTCGGTTAAGCGGCCGACTTCAGCCAGGTCACGATCTCGCGGTCCGTGAGTTCGAGCCCCGCGTCGGGCTCTGGGCTGATGGCTCAGAGCCTGGAGCCTGTTTCCGATTCTGTGTCTCCCTCTCTCTCTGCCCCTCCCCCGTTCATGCTCTGTCTCTCTCTGTCCCAAAAATAAATAAACGTTGAAAAAAAAATTTTTTTTTAAATAAAAAAAAAATTAAAAAAAAAATAAACATTAAAATAAGTTAAAAAATAGAAAAAATAAAGTATGTGTGCTTTGTGGTTTATCCATTATACCTCAATGAAGCTGTTCGAAAGGGAAATTTTATTATGCAATGACAATTTTATATTATGAATATGTTGTATTTTAGAGGGAAAAGGATAATCAGACAGAAAACGATTAGAGGTCCCATACCTTTTCAATACACATAAATTGGGTTTTGCTTGGCGTTCAATAATGTATTACTATGTAAAATAAACAAACAAATGAATAAATATTCCTGTTAGTTCTAAAGGACTTCTCACACCCTTAAATTCCGGGATGCTATTCTGCACCTCTTAGGGTTTTGTGCACGCACCTTCGTAGCCGACAAGATCCAGAATGTGGTGGAGTATCATCCCCACGGCGCTCTGGGAGCAGGTTAGCATGTCTCCAGCTGGACAACCATGAAATTGTTGGGTTGAGTTGTCTCATAAGGTCTCTGCAAGCAGGACCTCCAACCTGCCAGGGAAACCCATGGCTACTAACAGTCACAGACAGCAGGGTGCTTTCTGCTTCTCTTCTGCTAGTGGGCAAGACGCAAGATGCTTGACCTTGGAGAGAAGTCTGTTCAAAGCCATGGCAGCCCCAAGGAGGATTGATCAGCCATCAACTACTTCTCCTGATCTACAGAGTGCTATGGCCTTGTCCATGTTAAGAACAAAGCCCATTGCTTCGAGTCAGTTCTACCTCTTGTTGTTGGAGCTGGTGCGGCATAGAGGAAGGACAAGGAGTGGGGTCACTCCTTGACCCCTGGCATGGGGCCTGACCTGACCACTGGCATATACTATGTCTTTGCAGCCTCTTTTCCTTCTCTGGGCCTCCATTTCTCCTTGGGGGAATGGGAGCCAATGGCTCTTAAATTATCTGGAACATCAAATGTTCTATATGTACATCTCCACCTCTAAAGTAAGCCCTGTAGAACTGTGGCGGACCGTGACTGAAGAGGCCCCCTTGACCACCTGTGGGCATCCGCACCCTTGTATAACCTTCCCTCGCCACCCCCCCCCCCTTGAAACACGGGCAGGGGCTGTGACTTGTTTTGAGCCAATATGGCAAAGATGATGGGATGCTATTTCTATGATTACTTACATGAGATTGTAACATCAGTTTTGCTAGAAGATTCTCTCCTTGTGAAAAACGAGTGGCAGTGCCAAGGAAGCCCGTGTGACTAGGAACCAGTGGGGACATGGGGGCGGTCTCCAGCCACCAGTAAGAAGTTGGTGTCCTCGGGACCACAGCTGCGAGGAGCTACATTCTACCAAGACCACGGAAGCCCCCGACCACCCAGAGTGACCACGCCAAGGCTAGAGACGAGATGGGAGCCGACCAACACCTGGTTTTCGGCCGCAGGAGCTCCTACGGTGAAGGACCCAGTCAAGCCACAACCTGTGCTCCTGACCCACGGACACCAAAATAATTAATGTGTGGTGTTTGAAGCCACCAAGTTGGTCACAACATCGGGGACAGCAACAGATAATTCATGCAACGTGATAGAATGTTTAAACGCTGCTACTCTGGGGACGTACCATGAATAACTATTGAACGGACGTTGATAATAACTGCGTTACTCAAAACGTAACATGGATGTTATTCAGGGCCTCCTTCTGCAGAAAAGGTCCCTACACGCCGCGTCTGCCTTCTGGGCAGCCCAGCTTCTCCCGTGTGATCTGGTTCCCCGCTCCAACCAGTGACTCAGCACCGTCCGGTGGAAATACAACGCGAGCCACGCATGTGATCGTAGATTTTTCCGGTGGACGCATTCACATGGTAAAAAAGGCAAGTAAAGGCGATGTTAGCAACATCTGTGATTTAACCAACACGTAAGTATGTCACCTCAACACGTGGCAGGTGACGATGCAGGCAGTGAGGCGCTAACCGGGCACCTGCTCTGGAGGCAGCGAGTACGTAGGTCGGTCATCCATCAGAGCATCCAGCCTGTGATCTCTCCTGCAAAGAGGAGAGGGACCGGTCACATTTCTTCGGTAGGCAGTCTGAACTAAGAAGCACGAAAAGACGGGCCCGTTGCTGTCAGGGGCTGCCGCTGAAGGGTGGGGATGGGGGGGGCCTCAGCCGCCATGAGGGGCTGGGAGCGGGATTCAGTGTGGAGGAACTGGTCTCAGAAAACCTGAAAGCAGAGACAAGCAAATGGCAGGGGAACGCAGCAGGTAAATGGAGCGTAACTGGAGGCAGGTTATTGGAGAAAAGAATGGTCCAGCCTTCTTGCATTCAACAGGTATGTCTGGTGGATTTCCATGCCTTCATCCCTAAACTCAGGCCCAGACACCGGCTGGAAAAGCCCTGTCACAGGACCCCAAGCACCCCAGCTGCCTCGCGGTGGTGGTGCCGGGGGGCCCCGGGAACCCCTTTCCTCTACATCGCACTGAGGCGAAGATAGCAACCTCAAGCGCGCCAAGAGCTCCTACGCCAACCCAAGATGACACCACCTCCCCGCCCCCCGTGACGTGAGGACGTCTACACTGGTCCTCCTGGACAAGGCAGAGGTGGTCCTTTTTCACCGTACTCCACTGGCTGAGTGTTTCTGAACGGGACTCTGGGGCTCAGATTCAATCAGCGTGCAGAAGACAACGTAATGGAATAAGTACCTCCGTATTCGCACCTCCCGACACGAAGCCCTGCTTCACCTACTGGTTCGAATCCCACGTCCGCGCCTTCCTTCCTCTACCCCTTCCTTCAGTAAGTATTTCCTGAGCACCCACTCTGTGCCCTGGACCCTGGCGATACGGGACGACGCAAAGAAAGCCATCCTCTGTACTCTTGATGCCCAGAGTCTCATACAGGTTCTGGATAGAAGTCCAACCACCGGCCGTGAGCCCGTGTAGTGGTTACAGTACCAGGGGCCGGGAAGGAGGTTCAGGGAGCGCCGAGGGCATGTGACCGGGGGGTCCCCGTCCAGTCTGGGGGACCGGGGCAGACTTCCCCAAGGAAGCAGAGTCTGAGCCGAGGCCCGGGTGATGCTTGAGATCGAGCAGGAGAAGGACAGGGGGGCCGTCCCAGGACCTGGCCCACCAGGGTGGGCAGGGGTGGCACCTTTTCTCAGGGACACCGCTGGCCGCCTGCCCTCACTTACTGGATGCAGACGTTCCAAACCTGTACTCTAGTTTGACCTGTCAATTTTTCTAAGTCTTGACCACCCTTTATCAAAATGTGTATCGACGTGAGAAAGCGAATGTCTGCCGCCCCCCCCCCCCCCCTCGGGCAACTGCAAAATTGAAATCCTGTGGAGACGGCAAGGGCACATTTCCGATTTTAATTATTTTTCATCTTCCTTGGCTGGTTCGTGCTTTCCGATGACTCCTCTCATTCCCTCCTAGAAGCGGTCGCCACTCCCTCCCCCGGGGGGGGTGGCGGGGGGGGGGGGAATACACTTATCTCTACCAATGTAGGCAATGTTTCGAGTACATCAAGATTCGACTGGAGGAGTAGCGTGAGGGACGTCTGCTCTCCTAGAAGGTGCTAGAAACAAGCAGCTCGAACAAAGAACACTTCCCCAAACCCGGGTGTATCCTGAGCAGCAATGAACTTGGAGGTACACTTGGACTCAAATTTGGACTCTCGTGCTAAGTAGCTGGGTGACCTGGACCCTGCCACTTCACTTAGTGCCACAACCTGCCCTTAGGGCTTTTCGGGGATTGGCTCTCTCAGCCCCTGTGGCGGCTATGGGCCAGGAGGTGTTTGCAGCCCTAGTCTACACTCCAGGAGAGAAATGGAGACACACACGCTTTGCCCCGGATGCCCTAGGAGCCGAGGGCGGAGCTGGGACATGAACCTGGCCAGTCTGTCTCCAGGATCCCTACTTTTAGCACCCGGCTTGAGTTTCTCGGTGATTCCCCTTTCAAATATGGGGAACCTTGAGGCTCAGAGGGGGAAGGCTCACTTGCCGAAGTTCACACAGCCCGCAAATGGCCAGAGCTGCGACGTGGACCCAGGTAGTCCGGCTTCAGAGCCCTGCTCTTACCCCCTAGATGTGGCTGCCTCTGAAGACGGCCCTGCCTTGGTGAGCCTGGCTCCCCGCGTGTGGGGTTCCTGCGTGGCCTGGAGAAAGAGAGAAATAGAGTCGCTCCTCCCCTGACAGGCTGGTCAGTCTAGTGGGGCAGGTAGGGGTCGAGCAGACAAAGGGTCGTAGGCGCCGAGAAGGGCCAGGACGGGGTGCTCTGGAGGTGGCGGTGAGCTTTAAATCAGGCAAGGGGAGGATTACCTTCCCAACCGAGTTCGGTGAGGGTTCATTTCATCCGCAAATGCTCCTTACCACAATGTTCAACCCATAGCGAGGAAACAGGTGATGAAGCTTAGTCGTTCCCATTTACGGTGCCGTTCTGATGACTGTCGTCACTGTCGTCACGGGGTCCCTAAAAGCACCGGTATCAGGGCCAACAAACATGGGCTCAAACCTCCCCACCGTCATTTACCGGCTGTAAGACCTCGGGCAAGGAACCTGCCCACCCCCCGCGGAACCGAGGATTTCGTATCTCACATGCCTCACACTGAGCCTGACTCCTACTCTGTGCTCCATGAGGAGAAGTGATGATCGTTAAGAAAACGTGGACAGCGGGGCCCACTTGCGACAGGTGCGTGCCCCAACAGCCCGCTCATCCCAGGAGAGAGGAATCTGCTATTTCTTGGGTGGGAGCGAGACCAGAAACTATCTCTTCTCGACCATCATCCCGCCCCATTTCTTCTGTGATAGCTCTGAGCTCCCCCAGGGCAGGAGGAATCATTGTCCGACAGCCAGAGCGGTCCAAGGTTGGGGGGGGGGGGGGCTGGCTGCCTTTGAAGGAGGGAGCTCCCTGTCAAGGAGGGGTTCAAGCTGAAAACCCATGGCGGAGATGCTGCAGAGAGAACGCAAAAGTGCATCGGGGAAGGCAGGAAATGACGAGACCCGGCCAGACGGTGTGGATTGGAGCAACGGTTGTGAAACCGGGTTCATGGAACCCCGGTCCTGGAACAGGCCCTCAAGTTTAGACACAGAGGATGGAAGAGGTCAGATGGCTGAGGGTCCAGGGTCCCCTCCCGCCCCTCCAAGAAGAGAATCTCCACTTTTATTGGTTTGGGGATGGAGGTTTCTATCAGTTAGCTATTGCCACAGAATTGCTGCTTTAAAACACCACAGAACCTCAGGGACTGAAATGATGAACATTCACCCTTCACCCCTCACCCCTCAGTCTGTGTGGCTCGGGCGACCTAGGCTGTACCGTTTTGATCTAGGCCGTCGCACTCATCATGGGGGGAGGGGCAGGGACAGGCCGGGGTCGACTGATCAGAGCTGGGTTTGGCTGGCACAGTTTGGCCCCGTTCCAAGTGCCTCTCCTTCTCCTCCGGAAACCAGTGGGGGTACTCTAGGTCTGTCCTTCAAGACTGTCATCTCGCGTCTCTCCTGTGTTTTAGGCCGTTTGGAAAAGCCGATACTCCTCTATATGGGTAGCCTCAGAAGCAAGACGGCTGAGACCCTCACGTTTGCCTTTCTGAATAGATTTGGGTTTTGCCACATCGCTGATATCGCAGGTTGGGAAGGACAGGAATTTCGAGGGAGAGGCAATGACTTTCGGCGTCCATAAACATGACTTTTCTCGCTGAGACCTAAGCCCTGAGAGACCCAGAACAACAAGTGGAAAGCATAAGATCCCAGAAAGCGGAAGGAGAATGGATAAGGCCTCCAAAGAAGTTTTCGCCTCCACCGAGAAAGGAGAATAAAGTGTGACGGGGGGACGAGAAGAGGAGAGATACTGGATCTTAGGTTCCCAGCCTCCTGAGCTAAGTTTCGGGTGTGGGAGTGTATCAGTTACTCACTGACCCACAAACACTGCATAACAAACACAAAATCTTGTTTTTTTTTAATTTTTTTAATTAAGCTTATTTATTTTTGCCAGAGACAGAGTGCGAGCACGAGCCGGGGAGGGGCAGAGAGAGAGAGGGAGACACAGAATCCGAAGCAGGCTCCAGGCTCTGAGCCGTCAGCACAGAGCCCGATGCGGGGCTCGAACTCACAGACCGCGAGATCGTGACCTGAGCTGAAGTCGGACCCTTAACCAACGGAGCCACCCAGGCGCCCCTGGGGGTTAACTTATTTAAGCTGGGTTTATCTGACGTGGCTCTGCCCTGTGTATCTCTCGTTGTCCTTGGATCAGAGGGAAAGCTAAGGAATGTTCTCTTGCTAACAACAGAGGCACAAGAGGGCAACTGGAAACAGAGGCCTATGAAGACCTGGGCCTGAGGATGACACACCATTACTTTTCCCTCATTCTCTTGGCCAGACCAAGTCCCACGAATGAGCTCGAAGTCAAGGAGGGCGGGAAGGCGGGGTGTGCCCAGCCTTTATGGAGAAAATTCCAAAGTCATATGCAAAGAGCATGGATATCAAGAGGGGCAGAAAATCTTGGGGCCGATAGTGCCATCTAATCAGGGTGGAATGACAGGAACCCAAATGAGCTTGAAGGATTAGGGAGCAGGGGGTATAGTTGCCCGGCAAACAAGACCCCGACACAGGGCGGCCACCATGGCCAGGGACAGACTGGCCCGCCCCATTCACCCACAAGAGATTTGAGAAAGCCAGCAAGCAGGGCATGGGAGTCCTGGTGGGCCTGAAGACATCTCACGGTCAGCGTCCAGCAGAGAAAGTCTAAGGGTCTGATAGGCGTGAGCCGGAGTAAGACCACTAACACTAGATGTGTCTGGATGGAGGCCAGTGACCCATCATGGGACAAGCCACACCTCAGGGAGACCCACAAGGACCAAGTAAAAGCCCCCCCTCTTCCCTGAGTCTCACAAACACTGACAAATGCTTTCCTGCCTCAACTAATGTGGAGGGAGTCTCGTTGTCTGGCATTCTCCGGGGGAAGTTTTAAGTTGCGGCTCAGTGCATCGATCATGTTGCTTTTCCTTTTCATTCTGTGTTTCTGGGACGGGGCGGGGGGCTGGGGGGGTTGAGAGCA